TATTTGACAAGAGAGCCAAGAATACTCAATGGGGAAGACACAATCTCTTCAATAAATGGTGCTGGGAAAACTGGATATTCGTGTAAGAATGAAACTAGACCCATTTCTTAAATCCACTTACAAAAATTAACCTGAAATGGATTTAAGACTTAAATGTAAGACTGAAAACTATAAAACTCCTAGGAGAAAACATAGGAAAAAAGCTCCTTGACATGGGTCTTGGCAATGACTTTTTGGATAGGACACTTTAAGCACAAGCAAAAAATTAAAAAATAAATAAGTGGGACCCCATCAAACTAAAAAGCTTCTGCACAGCAAAGGAAATCATCAACAAAAGGAAAGACAACTTACTGAATGGGGAAAAAAAAATTTGTAAACCATGTATCTGGTAAGAAGTTAATATTCACATTATATAAAGACCTCACACAACTCAATAGCAAAAAACAAATAGTTCAACTAAAATTGGGCAAAACTGGGGCTCCCAGTCTTTCAAGGCCATCATTTCCCAATGCCCTTTGACCCTGCCGAGGATCATGGACAGGACATAGACTGCTGTACTCTGGCATGGGAATAGGGGAGGCTGTAGCAGCATCAGCCTTGGGGTTCCAGGCCCCTGTCCTACAGATACTCAGCACGCAGTGGCTCATTTCCAGTGACCCAGCACCATATCCCACTAGCACTTCAAGAAGATGTCTCAAGAAGAACAGGCATTTGGTTTAACAGTCAAAATGTCAACTGGCCAGACAAGGGCATATCCTAGGAGAGATCATATCTGCTTTCTAATCTACTTGAAGACTTCTTGTCCTGACGTGGACTGTATCAGCCCTGGCACTCCCACCTCAGTGTTCCTGGGGACAGGAAGGACCTCACTTTGGAGATAAGACCACTCAGTGAAAAGTCCCTGCTCACAAACTGCAAAACGTTAGATTTGTAAGGGTAATAGGTCAGCTGTAGTCATCATGCCCCACCAGCTCTGATGGTGATGTGTATGTGTTATTGCTTCATCACGTAGAATATGAAACAGGTGACTTTGCTTTCCTGAGGAGTAATATCAAATCTCCATTATTGCTTGACTTACTCTTGCCTTTTTTTAAGTTTTATTTATTTAAGTAATCTCTACACCCAATGTGGGGCTTGAACTTATGACCCCTGAGATCAAGAGTCACAAGCTCTTCCAACTGAGCCAGCCAGGTGCCCCATTCTTGCCTCTTGAGAAGAAAATCCTCTTATTATGGCTGCTGCTGGCACCCTTACGCTGGCATCACCCGTTCCTCAAAGGGCCCCTGCAAATTCATTTGTAATAATTGGTAAACTTGAATCTTATGCTAACAGATTGGGATCACATAGTTCTGTGCAGATAGAGTACTAACAATTAGTTTCCCTTCTAGAAATGTTAAAATCATTCATTTCTTTATCTTTAATAGCCAAAGTACTATGTTGATTTCTGCATTTTTTTTAAATGTGTTTTTTAGAGAGGGAGAACACACCTGTGTGTACACATTAGTGGGGGGGAGGGGCAGAGGGAGAGGGAGGGAGAGAATCTTAAGCAGGCTCCATGCCCAGTGTAGAGCCCAACTTGGGGCTCCATCTCATGACCCTGAGATCATGACCTGAGCTGAAATCAAGAGTCAGACTCTTAACCAACTGAGCCACCCAGGCACCCTGATTTCTGCAGTTAAAAATTATATATATATATTCAACCTTGGAAGCAGTGTAAATATCTGATAATAACTAAATAAGCAAATTACAATTTAAAAAGATAGGCAAAAGTCCTGAATAGACATTTTTCCAAAGAAAATAGATGAGGGGCCAACAGGTTCATGAAATGATACTCAACATCATTAATTGTTAAGGAAACCACAATAAGATATCACCTCACACCTGTTAGAATGGCTAGCATCAAAAAGACGAAATAAATGTTGGCGAGGATGCGGAGAAAAGGGAACCCTTGTGCACTGCTGGTGGGAATGCAAACTGGTGCAGCCACCATAGAAAACAGAATGGAAGTTCCTCAAAAAGTTAAAAATAGAACTACCATATGATCCCGCAAAACCCCTTCTGGGACAATATTTGAAGGAAATGAAAACACTATGTCAAGGAGATCTCTGCACCCCCATATCCATAGCAGCATTAGTTACAATAGTCAAGACATGGAAGCAGCCTAAGTGTCCTTGGACAGATGAATGGATAAAGAAGTTGGGATATATACAGATACACACACACATATACCCAGAGGAATATTATTTAGCCATAAAAAGCAGGAAAGTCTGTCATTTGCAACAACATGGGTGGACCTTAAGGGCATTATGCTAAATGAAATGAGGCACACAAAGAAAAACAATGTATGATCTCAGTTGTTTGTGGAATCCTAAAAAATAAACGCCTAGAAAAAGACATCAGATCTATGGTTAGCAGAGGTGGGAGGGGGTGGATTGGAGGAAGGTGGTCAAAAGATACAAACTTCCAGTTGGAAGATAAGTAAGTACCAGGGATGTCTCACACAGCATGATGACTGACTGCCTCTAACACTGCTGTCTGGTACCCGTGAAAGTTAAGAGAGTAAACCCCAAGAGTTCCCAGCACAAGGAAACAATGTATTTTTCTTTTTCTGTATCTAAAGGAGATGATGGATGGTAACTGATGGTGGTACTCATTATACACCTTAAACTTGCACAGTGCCGAACATCAATCACAGTTCAATACATCTGGGAGGAAAAAAAAGAGTATCTGTGGGGTATTTAGAGATCATCAGAAACCAGCATGGGACTTACTTGATGATTCTTGAAATCCCACAGAGATTAGATCTGGATGTCTATTGCCATGCCTTCTATAATAAGCTGAATTCTATGAAGGGGTCCCGCGAACTGCAACGTGATGCTCTGCCTGTTTTGCTTTGTTTTTCCTTTTATGTGCTCACTCAGGCTCCCCAGGGAGACAGTAAGCCCACCGGGGCGGAAACTGTCTCCTGTTTACTGCTGTCCTCAAAGCCCAGCAAAATGTCTGGGCGCCAGGGGGGGCTCAGAAGTGCTGTGGATGACAGTGAAGGTGAGTTTGCTCGCGGTCTGAAAGCCTAAGGACGGGCGCTCTTGCAGTCTCGCTGGGTGTTTACACTGTGCTCCAGGGTCCAGGCCGGAGGCCGGTGGCGTTACCTGGTCTGGAAACAGCGCGTCTGTGCTTTTGGAGGAAGCCCTTCTCCGGTCCGCTCCAGAACAAATGCTCTGTCCTTGACACCAACAGGAGCAGGAAGCATCCCTGCCACCTGCCAGCGAGCTGCGGCCAGGCTGTAATTTTACCGGCTGTTGCGGGGGAAGCCCGAGCTCAACGAGGCCCTGGCCGAATCAGGGGCCAGCAGCGCCTTTTCTTACCTGTTAATGAAGCCTCATTAGAAACAGCAAGACACCGTGCTGAGAACTGGAAGCCCCAGTCTGCCCTGGCTCTCCCTGCCAAAGGCTGATTAACTTAATGATTTATGGCAGAAGCTCTTTGAGATTAGGGGGCGGAGGAGACGGGGTGTGGGCGGCTCCGCGCAGCATGCTGTCCGGTGGAAACGCGGGAGGGTGTGCGGATCCCTTCTCCCCTCCGTGCGATAGCCGAAACAGCGTCCAGGTTCATGGCCATTCAGACCCAGAAGTACCTCCTTTTGACGGCTGACGTTTTGGGGCCCCCCAGCTGTGTTTAGGTTAGGGATTTAGGTCTTGGCTGGGGCGGGGGGGGGGGGGCAGAAAATTAACTGTAACAAGTAAGAAAGGAAAGAAACAGACCTCAGTTGGCCACTTATCTATTTTCTTTGGAAAAATGGCTATTCAGACCTCAGTGCACCCAGCATAGCTCGCCCGTGCACGATGCCCTCTTCCAGGGAGCCCCTTGTACCCACTGCTTCCACGGAGGGCACCGGGGAGCACGCAGCTGTGCAGGGATTGGTGCTTTGCAGAGATGTAGCATCAGGTGGTGCCTTGACTATTTCTGAGCCTCAGACCACAAACAGAATTATGTAAAGGTGTGGTGCAAGCTGTAAATAGCTGTCCTGCCCACATGACTTGCTAATACAATCCCTTTGATCCTAGAAACCAAAAAGGAAAGCCAGTTGGCGCGGTGTCAACCAGGAGACCCCACTTCTTGCCTTGCTTCTCTTTTAAGCGTTCTTAAGGGTAAAGAAGGTTTCTTTTGTTTATGTTGGCTTTGGCTCTTTGGAACCCCAGGGGTGGGGGGAGGGTGTCTTTGAATGTGCCCATATTGGACACATCCCCCTGTCTGGATTAGCCACTTAGGAGGACAGACTTGTGTGGATATTTTGGTCTGTAATTCTGTGTGGCAGGTGGACTAACAGAAGCTTGGGGGAAGAATTCAGAAATTAAGGCTGGGCTTTGTGTGTGTGGTTTTGGAGACACTGAGAGCCTGTGGTAGGACACAGGTGGTGGTTTCAGTTTTAATCAGAAGGCAGGGAGTCTTGCCTGGGTCGGTGGCAGATTCACACACTATATTTGGCTGGGCTAGGCCCTGAGACGGCTGGGGGAAGGATCCTGGAAAAAAGTTCTGAGGCTGCCAGTGGGGTAGGCAACCACAACCTAATTAATACCCCCCTCCCCGACTTGAAGTACCGTTTAAACTGATTGAGAGATGCTCTGCCATCGCAGTGAGATGTGTGAGTCTGCACGAATATGCCTGTGCAGAGTGCATGAGAGAGATCTGAATGCTCTGTGATGCTTACGATCATGATATATTCAACAAAGCACCAGGCCAATCCGCTGTCTAGCAAGAGTGTTGTTTTTGCCCCCGAACTGTGGCAATCTTACATGCCATGGGCACAAGTCTTGCTTAAGCCGCACGTTTATGTTCATGAACCCAAGAGCAGCTGACCCTTGGATGACGAGGTAGATGCCGTCATGCTCAAGGACCCCTGCAGAAGCCATTACGAATGGCTCTGGGAGCAAAAAGCCAGGCAGGTAAAGTGATATCCATCTTCACCTGACAGTGGGTTGAACAAGGTGGGCAGACTGGAAGCCACACACAAAGCATTTATTTGGAGAGGGACAAGGAAGGTTGATCAAGTTACAGACTATTTAAATTAAGGCAGAAGGACCCTCTCCACTTCCAGGATGCTTTTCAGACTAAGCTGAATCAACCAGGGAATCCAGCAAGGAATGCAGCTTGGGAGGGTAGGGTGGTGGTGGGAGTCTAGGCGATGTGGGGGAAACTCCTCTAGGAACTTCACTGGTCACTTGGTGAGGGGGGCAGCATTTTCTTCGTGAAAAGAGAAGTTCCTTCATTCGCTGAAACAAACAAAAAACGCAAGTGAGAGAAGTTGTAGATGATGAAAATTAGTAAAGAGGTCATAGTGGGAGTACAGGAAAGGCAAGAGTCTCATGGAAAGCATTTGGCCTTTGGAACAAGGCAGTTTGGGTTTCAAACCCCTGCTCCATGGTTTTTAGCAGTGTGACCTTGGGCAAATGACTTCAGCTCTCTGAGGCTTTGTCTCCTGTCTGTAAAATGGGGAGAATGATGTCATCCTGGCAGAGTTTTGGGGAGAAATGAAGATAAAGAGCTTAAGACTGAGCTGGTACCTAGTGGGCACTCACTAGTGGAGTTCTTATATTCTTGAAGTAAATTCAGCCTAACTCATTACTTTTTGCATATGTTTAAAACAATTTTATGTATATATTCAGATGTTCAAGGGCATGTGAAAAAATGAGCTTTGTTAGGAACATCTAGCTTTTATAATCAGCAGAAATCAATGCAATAAAAAGACAGTCGGGAAGGAGCTGAATGACATATTCTCTATTGGAAAAGAGGGAGGATTCTGTTGCTTCTATACAGTTCTCTTGCCTTCGGGAGAAAAATGTTACACAGCACCTTGGAGAAGCCAGGAGACCTGGGCTCCAGTCCCAGCTCTGCCTCCACCTCCCCGTGTGATCACAAACACATCCTTTTCTGCTCTGGGCTTTTGTATTCTCTCTGAAATTGAGGGGTTGGATTATGTAATTACTAAGTTGTTTCTCAGAGCTGATGTTCTATTCATTATTCAATGTATGTCTTGGAAGGGACTTTGGAGGGAAAAGTGAAGATACAGAATTATGATAGAATAAAGCTTGGATTTCCTTAACAAGCTGGCAAGGAAGCAGAATCCCAAGACTTACACATATGCTCCTGGAACCCTTACCCATTAAAAAAAGACTGCGAATATACACATACCTGTGTGCATGTGCATACACATATATACATATACAGAATATATATGCCATTCCTACCCCTTGATTCTCTCCACTATGGAGGCTGGAAAAGCTAAGTAATTTCTTTCCCAGCATCCCTTGCAGGGAGGTATGCTCATGTGAGCAGGTTATGGTCAATGAGATGTAAGGGAAAATCCACTGGAGGTCTTCTCAACATGTTTTTCCTTCACTGATAAAAGAAGAGAGCTGCCTCCCTCTTCCCTCCCCTTCTACCATGAATGAAGATATGAGTCTGGAGCTGTGGTAGGCATTTGGCAACCATGGGTAATGAAATGAAGACAAAAAGCCCATATATCAGGGATGGTATATCAGGAAGATGAAAGAGCTTGGGACCTTAATGAAATCACTGAGGGGCCTAGACCTCCTTATTTCTGGAACTCTTAAATAAGCACAGTTTGTGCCCTTGCCACTCAAAGTGTAGTTTGTGGGCCAGCAGTTATAGTCATCACCTGGGAGCTTTGTTAGACTTGAAGAATTTCTGGCCTACCCCAGACCTAGTGAAGCAGAGTCTGCATTAAAAAAAAAGTCCCCAGGTTGTTCTCTGTATTTAAGAATCTGCTTTTTTGTTTGTCTCTTTTTTCTTTGTTCATTTGTTCTTAAATTCTACCTATGAGTGAAAAAACAGACTCTTAAATACAGAGAGCAAACTGATGGTAACCAGAGGGGAGGTGGGGGATGGGGGAAACAGGTGAAGGGGATTAAGAGCACACTTATCTTGATGAGCACTGAGTCATGTCTAGAGATGTTGAATCATTATATCATACACCTGAAACTAATATGATACTGCATGTTTATTATAGTTCAATAAAAAATAAAATATGCTCAGGTTTTGGTGTTCTGAGTGCACATTAAAGTTTCAGGAGCATTGGTTTGTAGCCCCATTAATGAGGGTCTATTACCCGCAGTTGAAAGTACTCCTAACAGACAGCATGTATGTCCTCGGTATGTCCAAACATGTAGAAGTATGTCCATGTGTGTGTATGTGTATATCTGCAGATGTGAATATACGAATAGAAAAATCCTGCAAGGAAGACATGAACAGACATTTTTCCAAAGAAGACATCCAAATGGCCAACAGACACATGAAAAAGTGCTCAACATCACTTGGCATCAGGGAAATCCAAATCAAAACCTCAATGAGATATCACCTCACACCAGTCAGAATGGCTAAAATTAACAAGTCAGGAAATGACAGATGTTGGCGGGGATGTGGAGAAAGGGGAACCCTCCTACACTGTTGGTGGGAATGCAAGCTGGTGCAGCCACTCTGGAAAACAGTATGGAGGTTCCTCAAAAAGTTGAAAATAGAGCTACCCTATGACCCAGCAATTGCACTACTGGGCATTTACCCCAAAGATACAAATGTAGGGATCCGAAGGGGCACGTGCAGCTCAATGTTTATAGCAGCAATGTCCACAACAGCCAAACTGTGGAAAGAGCCCAGATGTCCATCGACGGATGAATGGATAAAGAAGATGTGGTATATATATACACACAATGGAATATTATGCAGCCATCAAAAAAATGAAATCTTGCCATTTGCAATGACATGGATGGAACTAGAGGGTATTTTGTTAAGCAAAATAAGTCAATCAGAGAAAGACAATTATCATAGGCTCTCACTGATACTTGGAATTTAAGAAACACAACAGAGGATCATAGGGGAAGAGAGGAAAAAATAAAACAAGATGAAACCAGAGAGGGAGACAAACCATAAGAGACTCTTAATCATAGGAAACAAACTGAGGGTTGTTGGAGGGGAGGGACACGGAGGGAAGGGGTAACTGGGTGATGGGTATTAAGGAGGGCACGCGATGTAATGAGCACTGGGTGTTATATAAGACTGATGAATCACAGACCTGTACCTCTGAAACCAATAATACATTATATGTTAATTAATTGCATTTAAATTGAGAAGCATACATTTGAAACAAAAAATCCTGCAAGGACACAGGCTGTGGGAGTGTGTGCGCGCGCACGTGTGTGTGTGTGTTGGGGAGTTTGAGGGTGATTTCTCCTTCTTACCTTCGTTGCTTCTATAGTGTTTGGAAACTTCTAATTTCGAACCTGTGAGTACGTAGAGCTGCCACAGGAATGCGGGGCGAGGAGAGGCTTACCAGCTCTCCTCCCTGTCCAGCAGGGCGTGGTAGGACGCCACGTCCCTCTGCAGCTGGGCCTTGCGCGCCCGCAGATGCTCGCGAGCCTCCTGCTGCTGCCCGGCCTCCCAGCGCATCTCCCTGAGCTCCGCCTCCAGCCTGCTGACCACGGCGCCCAGGCTCTGGAGCTCGATGTCGTGCCAGTGCTTGGCGTCGTGCAACGTGTTCTCCAGGCCTCGTTTCTGCCAAAGAGAGAACGCAGTCCACACCCGAGGCCGCAGGCAGGGCCCTCGAAGAGGGAGCTGGGCACAGCTGTGGGAAGTGCTGCGCTGGGCCTGGGCTGACCGTTACTCCAAGGACAATGGCCGGCTTACGGGGGGAATGATGAATCCTCCTCCGGAGGCCAGACTCTTGTTTAGTCTAATTCACCGATGTTTCTGATGAGGGGGCCCGGGGAGGAAGATAGAGAAAAGGGGAAGAAGGCGAGGCAGAAAGATGAAGTATACTGATGAGAGAGAATGAGTGAGAAAGATAATGTGAGAAAAAAATGAGAGTGAGAAATTGACATACACACAAGGGGAGGCAGTTTGCAGGTGTTTTTTTTTCAAACAAATCTTGCTCTCTGAACCGCCTCTGGGCCTCTTTGCTCATGATTTCTCACTCCCTGGGGGGTCCTTTCCTCCTCTACTGCTGAAACCCCTTCCATCGTTCAGTTAAAATGCCTTCTCCTCCAGCACGCTTGCCCAGATTGCCGGAGTTAGAATGAATGTCTCTGGCCTATATATACTCAGCAGGTTTTTCTTTAGTGTGTTAGTAGCACACCTTGGCTAATGCCTCTTCCCCTTGCTGCCCCTTCCCTGTGGGCTCCCCACTGCCCCGTCCTGAGCCCGTTTCTCTCTGAGCCATTTTTCCTGCGCAAGCGTTGGTTGGTCTCTGCCACCCTCATGATTTTAGTTGTCTCTCTCCCGGTGACTCTTACATTGATGTTTCCAGGACAGACCTCTCCCCCTGAGCATAAACCTGCTACTGAATTTCTTCCTGGAAATGTATACAGTCCAAGGGCACCTCAAATCAACGTGTCCACAATGGAGCCACTGGCTTCTTTCGGAACCTGTTTGCCTCTCCTATCTGTGCTTCCGCTGGTGAGTTCGCATGGACTAGAAACCTGGCAAAGCCATGTCCCTCATCTTCCTCCCCTCCCTGATTCAATCATCATGGAGTCCTGCCTCTTATATATTCTGGAAAGTTTTCACATTTATGCCCTCTCTCCCCCAGGCACCGGTGCCCAGGATGGATGCTTATCACTGCTACCCTGGGGTAACCTCAGTAGCTTGTAGCTCATCTCTTGGTCTCTAGTTCCTCCTGTCCCTGCATTCTCCACATAGCAGCCACTGTGCTCTGTCCAAAGTCCGAATCTGGATTTGTATCTCCCCTTCCTTCTCACCTGGATCATTCCTACTCATCCCCAAGTCCAAGCTTAGGGGTCACCTCCCCCAGGAAGACTTCCTTGATTGTCTCTTGCCCTTTCCCCCACCAGGCCGGGTTAGGGGCCCCTCCTTTGGGTTTCCATGGCTGCCCAAGTACATGCATGCCCTTAAACTTGTAATAGTGGGCTGAGCTTCTTAGGGGCATGTTTCCTCTACTAGACGGTGAACTCTTGAGAGCAGAAAGGAAGTTTCTGTAACTCCCATGATAAGACAGGGGCTGGCACAGAGTAGGTGCTCAAACGGGTGTGTTGCCAGGATGACAGCACTTGTATTATGGTTACACTTATTGCCCTACCTGTCTCCCCATTAGACTGGAAACCTCATCTTCCCATATAGCAAGCCTTGCACACTGTAGGGCTGACCAATAAACGCCTTTAAAAAACTGTGTGCATCTATCTTTAACATTTTTTAGTAGTTGTCATCATGGTGCACCTATAATTTAGCATCCGGCTTTTTTTATATGACACATAACAACAGATAAGTATCTTTTCAAATTGGAGTAAAATCTCAATAATACAACTTTCTGTACCCTGCCCCCTAAGAGGAGATTTTTCATACCCTTTTGATTACTGTGGTTGAAATGGAAGATTCTTGGTCAGGATGCCATCTTGAATCATGGCTCCTGTTAAGCAGGGGCCACCATATCATCTTATTTAAACCATCTTAATTCCATAGGATATAAGAATATTGAGTCAGATTCCCATCCTAGGTATACTTACAGGTGGCAAAAAATGTGACTAGTAGAAAAAAAATCTGGATCAGTATCTGGTCTAGGGTTATTATTTTGGTGAGATCTGAAAACCCCTCTATGGCAATGAAGATGCAGAAATGGCCACCTGCACTTTGAGAATCACTTGTTCCAAACTCTCTGGGTTTTCCTCCTTTGTTCATCAGGAAATTGCTTGGTTTGTAGTGTTTAGTGTTGACATTGGACCTGTAACAGCTGTGATTTGGAAAAAACTTTCATGGAATCACGTTTGGATCATCTGTCTACAGTTTTTGCTCCATGTTCACAGGTGACTTCTCCATGTGGCCTGAGGTTTTCTTTGATGACTTAGGGACCATTGCCCAATGTAGGTTCGCGGAAATGCCTATCAGAGGTTCGCTGTCTCTTTTGTCCCATCCTCAGAGTCCCGGTCCAGCTTTTCCCGCTAAGTCCCTGACATCCTGGCCTGGTTCTCACAGAGACGCTTGGGCTCGAGTGATGGCAGCCAGGCCACTGCCGCCCGTCTCCCAGTTCCAGCCCCCACAGCAGCACAGCTCAACACAACAATAAGCACACTTATTCCCCAGTTTCTGGAGATTGAATTGCTAAGCCCTCCAGAAAGTAAAAATAGTGACCTTATGTGATTTCTGGCCTTGAGCTCCATTCCTGATTTGAGCTGACGGAACACAGAGCTCAGTAGGCTTTAAGCACCATTACGGGTCCCTGGCTGCCAATACAAACAGTGCCTTGCTGGCAAAGGGGGCTGCAAGCGCCACCAGCTCGCCTGTCTGAGGTTTGCATGAGCTGCGGGGGCCCTGTGTGTGGGCAGTCTGCTCTGACCGAGGATAATAGGGATGGCTGGATGGACTGAGCTGTCCATTTGAAAGCTGCAGAAAGGTGTGCTTCTTATTCCGGCTGTCTGGGCTCCTAACCTCGGCTGTAAGGCCCAGGGACCAGAGCTCTGATCTACCAGCTAGCAGGGGACAGAGGCAGCCCGTCCTGGGTCCCAAGCACAGCCAGCATGTCACTACTCCTAAGTCTTCTGGTTGGGGGTGTGAGTTTTCTTTCGGTTGGTTCCAGCAGGCAGGACCATGGGGTTTAAGTGAGGTGATCAGATGATGCCAACTTGGGATTGCTATACCCGGGGTTATAATAATAATTTTACAATGATAACCAGTAATAGATACCATTTATTGACTGCTCACTCTGTGCCAGGCACTGTCCTAAGTGCTTGACCTGCATTGTTTCATCAATCATCCCCCTGACTTTATGAGGTAAATTCTGTTCCATCTGGCAGCAGATCACATTTCCAAAGACAGCTGCAATCCCTGTCTCCATCCCACGTGTTCTTTCTCTAGGTGGCCTTGCCACTGCCTCATCAAGAGGTGGCGTTTCTTTCTCTTCTTGTGGGATCTGAGATGGCCCGTGCCTCCTAAGACCAACAGAGTTCTGTATAAGTGATATTCAGGGACTTGTAAGCCCAGGTGTTAAGAGGCCTGGTAGCTTCTGTGCGGGTGCTCTGAGGAAAGCCGGATGCCACATCGGAAGTCTGACTACATGACTGCCATGATTTGAGGAAGTCAGAGCTAGCCACCTGGACAGGCCCCATGGAGGGAGAAAAAGAGATGCACAGCTGAGGCCCCACACATGTGAGCGGAAGCCACCATTCTTGGATGGTCTGGCCCCAGCAGATGCCCAGCTGTCTCTGCCGGACTCCGCCTCAATTGAACACATTTTTTACTGTTGTCTTAAGCCACCAACACAGCAGATGCTTATGATAACCCAAACAGATCCTCACTTCGCAAGTGAGAAAACAGAATCTTAGAGACATCACTGCGCTAATGAGTAGGGGAGTCAAGATTCCAGATTCCAGAGTGAGTGCCAATCCCCAATTCCAGAAGCCCGCTGTGGTCTAGTAGAGAAATAGAGCCAGAAGGGCTCAGCCCCTCCACTTGTTACTCCCGTTCATGGGCAAACCCCTGAACCACAGTTTGCTCTGCTGCAAAATGGGATGTCAGTCCCAGCCCCCTACACTTCTCAGTGTTTCTATGAAGGTCCAATGAGAGAATGCAGGTGAGCATGCTCTCATGACTATTAGCATCTCTTTGAAGAAATTACATTTTGGACACTCATCAAGTGCTTTGGGGACATGAAACAAATTAGACATGGTCTCTGCCCTGAAGAAGTTAATGTGATGTCAGTGGATGAGCTGATATAACCACATGAACCACAGGGCTCTGAATGCAAATGGCTGGCAGGTGGAGAGGTCACCCCACCTGTGATCTAGGCTTTTCGTTGGGTGTAGCACTTGCGTATCTTCTACCTCACCTGTGCCAAGGGTGTGAGGACAGGTAGAGGTGGGTAGAGTTGGGGGGAGGGGTCTCCTTGCAGCCATGGGAAGAACATGTCCAGAGGCTCAAGTGTAGGAGAGCAAAGGGTGAGTTCTAGGCATTTCCCTTCCTGCAGAATCTGGGCTGGTCTGTGAATGAAGCCCAAGCACTGGGTGGTGCTGGAAGGTCTGGCGAAGGAAGGCTTTCTCTTTTACCCCCAGGCAATCTCAGGGGGGAGGGACACTGAAAATGCAGAAGAGAGGGGACAGTAGATAGAGGAATGTCCCAGATGGGGCAACAGTAGACAGGGCAAGTTTACTGAAGGGAGGAGAGAGTGGATAAAACTTCAGAGACATTTTGAGGCTGGAAACAGAAGACAGAAGATCTCCTGTTCGGGGACTTAAACCTTACCTGCAGAATGGTGCAGGTGACAGCGTCTGCGAAGGACAGAGGTGAGGGCAGGCTGGCGCTCGCTGAGAACGGAGGCTGCTGGGAGCAACTGCTCTGGGAGCACAGTACCCTCTGCCGTGTTCAGTCATTTGGTGGAACCCAATCTGGTCATGAGCTTTTAGAGGACGGGAACCATCCACTTCATGTTTACGTCCCTGGGACCTACCTCACAGAGGGCTTAGCACACAGTAGGCAGCCAGTATATGTGTGGCTAAGTAATGCGCCACCTCCATCCAGGTGCAATTCATCCAGGCTTTTCTGATGATGTGGGGTTGAGTATATGCCCAATATTTTGCCTGGCACTTTTTTTTTTTAAGATTTTATTTATTTATTTGACAAAGAGAGTGAGAGAGCACAAGCAGGGGGAGCAGGAGAGGGAGAGGGAAAAGCAGGCTCCCCCTGAGCAGGGAGCCTGATGCGGGGCTCGATCCCAGGACCCTGAGATCATGACCTGAGTCGAAGGCAGACGCTTAACTGACTGAGCCACCCAGGCATCCCTGCCTGGCACTTTTTATCACTGGAAGAAGGCAATTTTGGCAGCCACAAGGACATCTGGGGAATAAATGGCAGCCCCTTAACCAGGCTTAAAGGGGCTTGGGCAAAAGGCAGCACTCCTAGTATTAGGATCAAGGGTTATGGTAGGTGAATAAAACTGATGAGCATAAAATTCACATAACTTAGTAAATAATGCAATGTCTTTCAGACAATTTTTAAGCTAAAGTAGCATTGTTTTAGGCTGTAGTTTCTCGATTTTTCTCACCTCAAATCCTTTTCTCACATCCCCTCGCACTGACCCTGATCCCATCACAGAATGTAGCAACGAGACGTGTATCATGTTGTGCTATGCTGTGGCAAGACGAACATCTCCCTGAGCTGACTGGGCAGCTTGTGACCTTGTTGGTCAGAGGACAGTGGACCCAAGGGAACTGAAGACACGTGAGGAGGGGAACTGGGGGTGATGGAATGATCTTGGCCACGGGCACCGAAAACATTGTTTCTGAGGGAACCAACTAGAATAAATCCTTGAGCTAACTTGATGGTAGACTAAGACTGCATTGGGAGGTGGGGCTGCTGGTTTGGTGATGGAACAGCTTTGGGTGGCAAAATTGAGATGAGGAGGGTATATGGGGAGTGGTAGAAGAAAGGGGGCACTAGTGATAGTATTGGAACTTTCCCAAGGCTTGAAGCTGATGGGAGACAGGGGCTCCTTGGGCCTCAGTGGAGTCCAGACCCACCTCAGCTGCACAAGGATTACATGAACCATCCCTTCATGCACTCCAGTGTGGACAACACACTTGTGGTTCAAATCAGTACACATGGCCCCCGCAGGGGGCATCGAGCAGGAGCTATGGGCTTGGTACCCTAATAACTTCAGTTGACCCCAGAGAGCAGAGGGTGAATTGCTAAATTATTAATAATTATTTTAATCACTACTAATAATAAATAATGCAGGAGACCTTCCCACAAATCCCAGTGAGTCTGAGGAGCTTCCTAGTCTTAGTTCGGGGTTCCCCAGAAGCAGAGCCTAAGGCAGGGATCCTGGTACATGTAAATAATTAAGGGGTTGCTCTCAAGAAAAGGGGAGCAAGGAAAGCAGGATAGGGCCCAGGAAGGCGCAAAGCCAGGAGGAGTCTCCATTGGAATCTGGTACAGCCTGATCCCACAGAGAGCCAGCGAGTGTGCATTACAGGGTGCAACCCATTCCACTCGGAAGCAAGCGGGCTGGGCTCTTAAACCCCACCTCAGCTAGTCATTGGCTGAGGGCTGGAGGAGGCGGGCCTAACCGCCCAGGCCAGGTGTGCACTGTTTGGCTGAGGCCCATTCTCTGGACAAGTGGGGCATCTAGGGGTGTAAGCAGTCGACAGTCACAGCGGTGGCCTGGTGTCGGGTGTTTCGGTGGGGCACTAACAGCGTTCACCATACTTGTGGTTCGGTATCAGCTGACCCTTTCCGGCCTCAAGACTCAACCTGCTGGGAGGTGGGCATCTCTTGCGAACTCCGACCCAGATGACTACAGCTCAACAGTTGAGAGTTAAAATTGACATAAGAAATGCCGGGGCTCTCCCGGCCCACTCACCAGGGCCCGCAAGGATTCCGTCTCGGCCTGGAGGCTCTGGACCCGGCACGAAGTGTTGTGCAGTTCCAGCCTGAGGGCAGCGGCCAGCTTGTCTTCCTGCGTCTGCGCCCGGCGGGCCACCTCTGCCTGTTGCTGTGGAGGGTCAGGTCTCCGCGTGAGCAGGGGAGCGTGGACAGCCCGAACCCCCCTTCCCTCTCGCCCTCCCCAGGGACCGCTCCACGGCCTCTGACTCCGAGCAAACAACTGGCAGATGGAAAGATCCCTTTTTCCACAGGCGCCCCCACCGATTTGTATCCAAGCGTTTATTTAGTTTGAACACAGAGTACATGCAAGTAGAATACAATTCAAAAGCTTTTTCTGAAGGATTTATAGAAGAAAGTCTCCTTCTGTCCCATGCTTTACTTACCCAGTTCTTCTGTTTCCAGTTTCTTATACCTCTTTCCAGAAATATTTCATATATTTATAAGTAAATATATATGATCATCCTCTCCTTGCCTTGGTACTTAATATATCTTAGAAAATATTCTCTACCAGTATATATAGATCAGTGACATTCTTTTCAATGGCTCCATAATACTGCCTTGTTTGGAAGTACCGTAACTATTCAGAAGCCCTGCACTGATGCGCGCTTAGATTGTTTCCAGTCTTCGCCTGTTACAAACAATGGTGTAAAGAATAACCCTACAACCCTCACTTTCCACATACGGGAGTATCTCTGACGGGTAAATCCCTGCAGCGGGACTGCTGAGTCAAAGGGTATGCATTTGCCATTTTGATGGATGTTGCCAAATTGCCTTTCAGAGAACTCGTAACCGGTTCCAACGCTGTCAGCCAGTGCTGATTGCCCCACACCTTCTTCAAATGAGGAACTATCCAAGTTGGTCTGATAGTCCCCGTTTCCTTGTAAAAACCAGTCTGGCCACAACTGTGAACACCAGGGGAAGGTCTGTGTTTCGCAATTTCTCCCTCAGCAAGGACATAGTCTGATTCTTTCCCATACTTTCAGGGGATAGGTCATTGCTACTCTTTCTCTCTGCTGGAGGAAAGGGGAAAAACTAGAGATCACCTTCATTCATCTTTGGTACATTCTGACGCATGTCTCTAAGCCAGTGATACGGGAGAAAAAAAACCCTGTTTTCTCTCCTAGTTTACTGGCTGTCTGGATTGACCATTTTTACTACATATGAATACTTATTTATAGGGTTATGCAAAAATAGTCCAATTTAACTGACTGACTAAGAAAACCCAGGTCAAAGGGCCCATATCTCAGGTGTAGTTCTTCCTGTGTGAGAGCTAGAAAGAGGTCAACAAAAATGTCCATTAAAAGTCTGGGATCAGCTAAAGGAGAATGGAAGCTGTGGGCCCAGCTCAGACTGGTCAGTCCATGGCTGTGTGTCCCTGGACCATCATTCAGCCTCTCTGAGCCCCAGTCCCTGTCCACAGAAAGCAAATGACAGCGAGTAGAGTACCTATGAGGCTTCCATTAGGTTATACATGCGGAAACTTTTAGAGCCTTAAAAGTACGCAAATAGTGACTGCATATATTTTTCTATACGTAAAAAGTAATATTAGCCAAAAATGAGTTTGTAAAAGCCACTGTAGGTTGGATACTACTACTGATAACTAATACACGTTAAGCACTTATTTTGTGCCAAGCACTCCATTGACAGTGTCCATTATTTCAGTTAATCTTCACGACTCTATGAAGCAAGTGTCATTGTTACTCCTATTTTACGTGAGGAAACCGAGGCAGAGAGACTGAATTATTTCCTCAAGATCGTATGGCTTATAAGGGACAGAGCTGGACTCCCTGCCGCGGCTGATGCCAGAACTATGCTCTCAACCAGGTTTGAAAGCCGCTGCTTCTGCCAATCCATCAAGACCCCCAAAAGTGGAGCTGTCTTCCCCAAAGTGAAGGTGGACCCCTCTCAAACTTCCTCGTGGTCTGTCAAGTCCTGCTGTGATGGGTCGCCCCGTTTCCCTCCCTGTCTTTGGGGTTGGGACTTGGCCCGGTGGGCTGTGTGGGTGGCTGGGCGGTGGGCGGGCCGGGTTCCGGCAGACAGACGGAGCTAGGAGGTGCGGGTGCACCGAGCGGCCAGGGGGCCAGCTGGCAGCTGGAGCCCGCTCCTGAGAGCTCTTGAGAGCAGAGGGTTAAATTTTCAGGAGGTTTGTAAGCTGGTCGGTAAACACAGCTATTATTAAAAATTAAATTATATCCACTTACAATTAAGTTATGTTAAAATGGTAACAAATACTCCAAACACATCACTTGCTAATTTATTTACATTTTATCATTATCTGTGCTATCAAAGTTATTTATATCGATGGGAGCTGTGTGGTAGAAATGACATTTAATGCTGAGCTTCTGAGCATCTCTTCCAAACTCTGTGCTTATTTACCTCAACTTAGGAGTTTGAAATCAGCTGGGGTGAGAGTTATTTACCTCATGGAAATTGGCAAACACTACAAATCAGGGATTGAATTGTTGTTTTGCTGACTGTCTAGACTTAAAGGGATGCAGAAAATGTTAATAAAGCAGATTAAACTTAAAATGGGTCATGTCTATAGCTGTCGCATTATGAATAGCAAAAAAATTAGAGGGAATATCTTTCCAGTATTTACAAACCATTATCTGATTTAAAAGAAGTTACTCATATCATTGATGAAAGGACTCATTAAGGTTAATGGAAATATCAACCAAAATTCATATCAGAGCTATCCTCATTTATCATTGATGTGACTTTTTGCTTAATTGGATATTAATAATCGAGCCTATTTTGTAATCTGATTTTGTGACATTATTGTCGATGACAGAATTATAAAAACAGTTGGCAGATTTTGCAAGAAATAGCTAGTCCCACTGAAAGTATAGGTGCAAACGGAAAAGCAAAGTACGTATTTTATCCTAAAATTTATGTTATCTCTAAAATTATATAAAGAAAACATCAACAGAAACTTCTATGTTCCTTTACGTGGTATTGTGAATCTGACCGGCACATAAATACACATGCTTACATTTGTCCTCGGAGAGCAGATATGAAACATACCAGCACGCCCTGGGTAAGAAGCGGGCACGAGTGGAAGTCAAGTCCCACTGAAAGCAAATTTCAAAGCCTAGGTAGGTGGGTTGGGGTAAATCCACTGGCCAAGGCTATCACCACAGTTCCCCAGATGATCTGCCCTCCTCTCAACCCAGACAATGAGTGGTCTGTATTCAGAGGTATGCACTGGTCTCTGGGGGGATGAATGCTCTATCGGAGTGTTTCCCAAACATTCGACAAGCAGCATGGTTTTTCACATATATGAATACTGACTCAAACAATTTTTATTTACATTGATTCACTTTCTCTTTGTAGATAAATGTGTTTAAAATGGAAACTGTAGATAAGGTCTCAAATTTTATGTGCATCAGGATCATCCAGGGAGCTTGTGAAAATGCAGGTTCTGGTTCAGGAGATCTGAGTGGGCCCAGGAATCTGCATTTAAAACTCCCATGTGATGCCTGGTCCATGGGAACAAAGTTCTAGATTGCTACGGAAACCAATAAAACTGTAAAACTGTATCACTGGTCATAGACAACAAATAGCTGAAAAATTAATAAAATTAAAATAAACCAATGTTATTATATTTGAGCAAATGCTGCCCACCATGTTGCTGAGTCCCAAAGCCTGCTTTCTCTTTGTTGAAACATGAGACTGATGAGTATAAGAGAAGTGTTAATGACCTACTGGCACCAAATGGACTCTTTCTTATACGGTTTAATTAAGATTGAAAGAGAAAAAAATGAATTTGATCACTATGAGATTCAGTGTCATTTTATATTATGCCCAGTACCTTCTCAAATCAGCTTACAAGTGATACTTGCCTTTCATCTGGGGACAGTCAACTGCTTTAACTCACCTAAATGTATTACCTGCTCTTCTCCAATGGCCTTTTAGAGTTATGCTTCCTGATTAATAATTACTTCTATTTCCATTTCAACCCAATGCCTTCAGGATTTCTCCTCACAGACCATACAGCAGGTGTGTCATTCTAGACCCTGAGGATAGGAAAGTAGGACTGTGTTTGTTGCTCAGTGCAGTCGCTAGGATGTTAATGAGATTCAAATATGTTGGTCCCCAGGCTTTCAAGCCAGCCTGAAATCTTGGCTCTGCTGTGCAGGGGCTAGGCTGCCGTGTTTGCACTCCATCTATATTTCTGGGACAGGAGAGCATATTGACACTTTGAAATAGGGTAAAAAATTTTGAATAAAAAAATTTAAATTAAGTGCACATGGAAGATGGATGGGAGAGAAGCAAAGCAGCCTGCTTTGGAGTAAGTCGGAGGAAGTATTTGAGAGTCCCCACATGGAGGGGGGAAAGGGCCATCTCCAAACCCATCCCTCTGCTATGCAGGGGTGTTCTTAGCAGAACATGTGTCCAAGATGAGTGCTGAGAGGCTGAAATGTGTACTCTGCCTTTCTCCAGCAGTTGCTGTGTGGATTTCAGCCAGTCCGCTCAAGCTCTCTGTTTTGGCAGCTGGGAACAAGAGCTTTACAAGAGCCTTGCTCTGCTGCTGAGTACAGCTGACTGCCTTGCTCTGCAGCCTCTTAGACCTCACAGGATCACACTAATCTCATGGTGTTCACTATCATGGAAAAAGGGAAAGCAGTGGATTCCTTGGGGATACAGGGGTTCCCCGTCTTGTATCACAGAGGAATCTTATCCCACAGGGAGGGCACAGAATCATGGTTTGGGAAGATCATGACAAAGGTCTGGCCTAACCTTCTGGACCCTCAAGACAAAGGCCTCTCAACCTCACATTCCATGAGACACTGAATCAAGACTCCCCCACACTCCATGTGATCTGTCCAGGACAACCTAGCTGTTCAGAGTGATGATTCTGGAGTCAGAGTGTGGTCTGAATCTCAGTTCCACCACTTTGGAACCGTGTGTTCTTGGGGAAGTGACTAACCTCTCTGTGCCTTAGTCCCCTCCTCTATGAAATGGATAAGATCACAATACCTAACTCCTGGTGGGAAGATGAAAGGAGAACAGGCCTGTCAGGGGCTTAGAGCCTGGTCTGGGCACTTGGTACACGCTTACTAAATGCTCTGCTGGAGCTGTTCTCAAGCATGTTGTCTTCTGCCTTGG